ACGCGAAGTCCAAGAAGCACCCCCAGAAGTAACAAATGACAAGCTGCAGAAATGGAGAATTTGTCAGAACTTTAATGAAGTTAACAGACACACCATTATAGCGCCAATGCCGCAAGGGGACATACGAGCCAAGCAACTAAGGCTAAGTGGACACAAGTACGTGTCAGTATTTGACTTTGCGTCCGGATTTTACGCTGTCGAGGTCCCGGAAGAGTCCAGACCATATACAGCTTTCTACATGGAAGGACGAGGTTATTTCTGGTATAAGCGTATGCCAATGGGACTCACCGGAGCACCCACCACGTTTTGCGAAATGACAGCTAACCACCTACATGACCTAATAGCAGATACTACCATGGAAATTTTCGTGGATGATGGAGGAAGTGCAGGTGACACATTCGACAAGATGTTTGGGAAATTAGAACACATTTTCCAACGTTGTCGGGACCGGAAACTATCCTTATTACCCACAAAATGTCGACTTTTCATGACAGAAATGACATTTGCAGGAGCAACAGTAGGGCCAAGAGGAGTTCAACCGGACCTTGAGAAGTTAACAGCTATCGTAAACTGGGAATGGCCAGCAGACGCACTTAATTTAGAATCATTCTTGGGGCTACTAGTCATTTAGGGATCTGGTGCTAGGATATGTGAAAAGAGAAGGGCCACTGCGCAACTTAGTCAAAGAAGCACCGTTAACGCACCCATACACCAAGAACACGTACCGACGTATCCTGAGAAACCACAAACTCGACAACCAATGGACACCGGAGCATACTAAAGCATTTTTAGACCTGAAAGCCGCATTAGTAGAGCGCCCTATACTACAAGCACCAAAGTATGATGGGTCACCATTCATAGTAACATCCGACGGCTGCCAAGAAGGACTAGCAGCGGTGTTGTCGCAAAGAACACGCATGCAAAGACCTTCGGGAAAGTGGATAGAACGCCTGCTGCCTATAGCATTCGCATCAAAACGGACATCAACCACAGAACAGAAGTACAAACCTTTCATACTAGAGTTTGCGGCACTGAAGTTCGGATTGGATAAGTTCTCAGATATTGTTTGGGGCTTCCCGGTAGAAATCGAGACTGACTGTCAAGCTTTAAGAGACGTACTGCTAAGTGATCAGCTCAATGCAGCACACGCTCGATGGAGAGACGGAATTCTAGCGCATCACATAATAGACGTACGCCACATACCGGGTAAGCTAAACATTATAGCAGACGGCCTTAGTAGGCAATGGGAAGGACAGCCGCGAAACACAGGACTACAAGACGGAAGTACCTGGACAGTCAGCGAAGATTGGGAAGCGGAGAAAGGTCTGATCAATGACATATTAGTACTAACCTCGACGATAGATGAACAAACGGTAAGAGGTCTCCTAGAGCGTTTTGCTAATGAATTAGTATTCCTAGAAGTCATAGAAGCAATAGCACAGATCAACTTGGACAAACCGTTGAGAGACCACAAAAGAGCATACCATCGAGCATCAGAGTACCTGATTGAAAATGGGAAACTATGGAGACTACACGGAGGAACAACAGTTCGAGCCCGAAGCAGAATGGAATGCGTTACACGGGAAGAGGCGAAGCAACTAGCAACAATACAACATGAGCAGAAAGGACACTGGGGAAGAGACGCTATCAAAATAGCACTCACAGATCAAATATGTAGCCCCAAACTTGACACATCAATCATGGAAGCTATAGCAAATTGCGCTAAGTGTAAAAATTTCGGGTCACAGCATCTACACTCACTATTAGAACCTATAACATGCAGACACCCTTTCGAGCTACTCGTCGGCGACTATTTGACCGCTTCCCAAGACCCGAGGATATCACACTCTGGGTGTCTACCTTGACACGTTCTCACAGCACGTATGGGTCTTCAAATATAAGTTGTCAGGTACAGTGCGCACAACGATAAACAGTATATCGCAAATTTTCCAGAACTTCACGGCATCCGAAACATTCATGAGCGATGGAGGGAAACACTTCAATAACACAGAGGTCAAGGAATACTGCGCTAAGTGGTCATGTAAAACACACGTTGTAGCTGCTTACTCACCGTGGATCAACGGACTTGTAGAAGGCACGAACAAAATCCTATTGCACGTGCTCAAACGCCTATGCGCCCCGAACCTCGGTGAAGACGAATACGAAGCAATATCATGGGATAGTCTGCCAAAGAGCTGGCCAAAGCACCTAGAAGAAGCAGTTACAGCCTTGAACTACCGAATACTGCCAGCTTTGAAGTTCTCGCCAAAAGAACTTCTACTAGGACAAGTGATCAATACTCCAAGAACAGACATAGCTAACAGCACATCAGCATTACGTATATCAGACACCAATATTCATATGGCGTACGTGGTGCAACAATGCCTAGATGGATATGAGGCCACAGTACAACATGCGGTCAAGAGGAAAGCGGCATTCGACAAACGTGTATTATCGCGTTCACCAAGGGAAGTGATCTTTACGAAAGGACAACTGATTCAATTTTATTATAGCAGCGCACATAGTACACTCGAAGCAAAACGCAAGTTGTTGCCAAAATGGTCACCTCCGCACCGAATCACGGAGAGGTTACGAAACTCATACCGATTGGAGACCACAGAAGGAGAACCACTAACAGGAGAGTTCCACGCAAGAAGACTAAGGGCGTTTATCCCAAGAGAAGGCACAAAGTTAGAAAAAGAGCAGAAAGAAAGAGAAGCACGAACAAGGCAAGAAGAGGAAGACCGAGATGAAGAAGAGGAAAACGAAGACCGAGATGAAGAAGAAGGAGACAAGGACTTGAGCGAAGAAGACCAGCAAAAAGACGAAGAAAACCAAATAAGGTGCAGAGAGCATGAAGAAGACAACCAGGAGTAAAGGAAGCGAGAGGTTGCGACACGGTCGTCACTGTTTTAAAGGGGGGCACTTGGAGTAGGGGACCCCTAGGGAGGAGGTCAGGTCGCAGAGGTGTTTGGCGGTGTTTGGAGCACAGCTAGAGGGTTAGATAGAGTCTCGGGAGCAGTAGCACAGCATCACTTCGTTGTAGAGTCCAGCGCACTCATAGAGAACAGCCCACTCCAACAGCCATCAGCGACTGCGCAAAATGCAAGAACTTCGGTATGCCACACTTACATTCTCTAATGGAACCAATAACCCGCTGTCACCCATTCGAGCTCTTAGTCGGGGACTACCTCACGTTACCTAAAGCCAAGGGATTCCACACGGTAGGAGTGTACCTCGACACATTCTCACAACACATGTGGGCATTTAAGTACAAAACGGCCGGTACCCCGCGAAGAGCACAATAGATAGTCTGGGACACATCTTCCGGGGCTTCACCGCATCGGAAACGTTCATGTCCGATGGAGGTCGACATTTCAACAACACAGCAGTGAAAGATTTTTGCGCTAAGTGGTCCTGTAATACTCACATTGTGGCAGCTTACTCACCATGGATCAACAGTCTAGTAAGAGGGCATAAATAAGATTCTCCTTCACGTACTGAAATGGATGTGCGCACCAAATATAGGAGAGGACAATGAAACCCTCACATGGGATAATCTCCCTCTCAATTGGCCCGACCATTTGGATGACACCATCATTGCACTCAACCACTGCATACTCCCCGTGTTGAAATTTTCGCCGAAAGAGCTGTTACTAGGGCAAATTGTCAACACCCCCACGCACGGATCTTAGCAACAATGCATCAGCCACACGCATGTCGGACATAAACACGCACATGGTGTATGTGGCACAGCAGCAACTCGATGGGTATGATGCAGCAGTAAGGCATGCACTCAAGCGGAAAGCAGCGTTTGATAAAAGGGTCCTCGAACGCAAACCAGGTGAGGTTATATTCCGTCAAGGGCAACTGATCCAATTCTACCACAGCAGTCTCGATTACACATTTGTGGCCAAGCGCAAGCTAGTACCCAAATGGTCAGCACCCCATCGTATCACAGCACGTCTATGCAACTCGTACAAGATAGAAACCATCAATGGAGACGCAATATCGGGAGAGTTCCATGCCCGACGTCTACGAGCATTCATCCCAAGAGAAGGAACAAAGTTAGGCGAAGAACAGGAGAAATTAGAGGAAGAATTGGCGCAAAAAATGAACAAACCAGAGGAGGACAAAGAACCCAATGAAGAAGACGATGAAAATGACCCAGACAAAGGAGAGGACGACAGTGTCGAGGAAGATGAGGAGAACGAAGAAGGGAGATTGGGATAGCAGAAGGAAGTGAGATGGAACGAGCAAAGTCGTAGACGGCAGGAGAGCATCGAGGTCGCCACTGGTTCTTTTTCAAGCGGGGCACTTGGGGTAGGGCACCCCTAGCGCAGGGGGTTGCAGAGGCTGATTTTTGCGAGGGTTTGAGCAGCTTAGTCAGCACACAGAGACCATTCGAGACGAGACTGTAGTAGACACATCATCACTTCATCAGGATCATTGCTCAGAGCACATTGTCTGGAGCGACCACTCCATTGTCGTCATCATCATCACTATCAGGGAAGGGACGATTAGTGAATGCTTCGTCGAAGATAATGTCCCGCGAATTAAAGAGAGCACCGGTAACGGCATCCCTGCAACGCCAGGCCTTCACACCATGAGGATACCCCATGAAGATAGCTTCTCGAGAGCGGGGACCGAGCTTTTCTTGAAGCTCAATCGGGATTCGAGTGAAGCAGCGAGCACCGAAGACGCGTAAGTGTGTGAGAGTGGGTTGTGCCCCATTGAGCATCTCATATGGGGTCTTCCCTGGTGGCAGAGCACACGATTCGGACCTGTTGAACAGGTATGCTGCTGTGAGTGCGGCTTCTCCCCACAACACATGTGGCAGGCGTGCATAGTCGAGCATGGCGTACATGCGCCCTTCGATCGTTCGCATCATGCATTCCGCTTTCCCATTTTACTGATGCGCATACGGGGCTGATTGTTGGCGTATGATTCCTGCGGATTCAAGCGACGCGGTGAAGGCGTCGTTAATGAATTCTCCCCTGTTATCCGAGCGAAATACTTTCACTCGGAGACCAGACATGTTCTCCCATTTGGCACGGGTAGTTGTCCACGCACTCAATGCCTGATCTTTCGATGCTAGCAGCTGCAGGTTGAGCACGTGAGTGTGATCATTGAGGAAGATGATAAAGTACCGCTTAGAATGAGGCGTGATGACTGGGATAGGTCCGCAGACGTCGGAGTGAATGAGCTCCAGGAATTTGGATGAGCGCTCAGTCTCCGACGGATGGAATGGGAGATGGGGGTGCTTCGCCATGATGCAGGACTCACACGTCGACAGAGGGGACTCCAAATTGATTGTCATGCCCTTCGCGACCTTGTCCAGGCGTGACACTGCATTCCGTCCTAGATGACCTAGGCGTGCATGCCAGAGGTCAAGTGTGAGTGGAGCTTGGATGAACGCAGCGATTTCGGGCGTGGATGAGCTGATGGGAGGTGACTCAGTGAAGGGAATGAAGTCGAGGTCGATGGCGTATAGCTTGCCAGTTGCAGGAATGGCACCGGGAAGGTCTCCTTTATAGCCCAGCTCGCATGTCATGTTCGACTTGAAATTGACATCCCATCCCTTGGCGTTCATGCAAGAGACGGAGAGAAGGTTGAGCATTGCGTTGGGCGCGTGCAAGCAGTTAGATAACTTTACGCGTAAATGGTGTTTGCCAATCGTCATCCATCCTATACAAGTCCCATGACCAGTTGTCTCCAAAATCCCGTGATTTGCAGTGTGCACGGGCATGGATTCTTCCATTGAATACGTATGAAAGAATTTTTGGTCCTTGACGAGCGTCACAGTTGTCCCCGAGTCGAGGATCGTTGAGAAAGGGAGAGAAACGGCACACGACACTTCATCAGAGATCTCTGCGATGGACGCGAAGGAGACATCAGTGTAGAGACTGGTTAAAGTGGCAGATGTCACAATGGCTGCAATAGCAGGGGTAGGAGGAGTAGGTGCGGTCGCGATAGCAGCTGACACGGTTTCCTTCTCAGTTTTCTCCTTCTTATTGCACATCCATGGTGCCTGCCCTTCCATCCCGCCACCCTTGCCATAACAATGGTCATGGTCGTGGTCTCCCTTATTGCAACCAGGCGTGGTGCAGAATATGCCCTGGGGGTTATGCTTATGCTTATGAAGGCCAGTTATTGTGTTAATTGACGAATTCGTGGTAGACAGTGTGGCTGCATTAGCATATTCGGACCCAGGTCGTGCTGAGTGGATGCCTCGTGCATGCACATGTCATGCAGCTTCTGCCGTAACACGTGAGACGCAGCTGTCAATGGTAAAAGTAGACAGGTTGGCAGCAGTTGCAGTCATGTTCTCATCATGCATTCATTGCTCGAGCATGGATTTGAATTGTTGCCATATGGCCGTCTGAGGTAAACCCATGAGCAAGCTGTAGATTGCATCACTATCTCTGAGAGGGGCGCCTGAATCATGGAGACGCTCCCTGAGCACCGCATGTTGCCCG